ATGTATATATATATATAATATATTACATATTACATATATATTGCCACTTTTAATAATCTGGGTGAATTAAAATGGATCCACCAAACCACATTAACTTTCATATTGATATTCATGTTTCATTCAAGCACCTTCATAGACCACACATTTCTTTTTTCAAACCTGGAGATTTATTCTACAAGATATACTCTGTCCTTCCTCCCCCCCCTACAAAATTTCTTCCATGAACAAAAGAAAAGCATCACAAAGCCACAAGGCTCGTTGTATGTATTCCAAATAGGAATCTTACATTCATGCAGCAGGTCCTGCTACTGTCATACTAAGCAAAGTAGTTGTTTAAAAATACTAAAGTAGACTAGCCTCCAACTAGACAAAGGAAATTTCAGTCTTCAGAAAATGACCTTCAGAGAGCAAAGATCGAAGGGGAGGATAGACTGACAGAACCCCTCACTAAAAGGCAGCAAATCTAACAGTCTGCAGCTGTATCAATTTTAATTCGTAATAATAGCAACTGCTACATCAGTAGTGGACATAAAAACAAGATCTCTAAGCATTATAGTAGAAATTCATAGACCTCAGAAAATGTTTGTTAACTCTCCCAATGATTTCTTCCCAAAGTGGGAGTTAACACTGATTGTAAAATGTCACCATAAGAACTATTCTCACATCCATCCATCCATCCATCCATCCATCCATCCATCCACAAACACACACACACACACACACACACACAATGAATGAACAAGGATGAAAAAGAGGATTCTATTCTCGTCACAGTCATTCTATTCTTTACATGAAAAAGGTAGTTGATCAGCATGGTGGAGGGAAGAGCCTGCATTTCCAGGCCTTTCTTTTTTTTTAACTTTACCTTTTATTTGGTCTCTCCTCCCAAATCCATCACCTGGTGCTGAATCAAAAGGGTGCGACTGCTATCATTTTGTTCTGGGGTGCACCAGATTCCTGGCCTTCCTGGGCTCTTGAGTTCAAAGAGATGACACCCTCACTCTAGGTCCACATATTATTTTCTTGCCTTGACCCAGAATGAGAAAGGGTTTTCCAGCTAAGCTCAAATCCCACACCCTGATCTGCCTACAGGGTCCGGCCTCGTGTCTTAGAAGGCACATGGAACTACTACTAAGCTGGATTGGGTGTATACAATCAGGATCCTGCAAGCTCAGGCATGAAGAGGAAGCTGACCTACTTCTCAGTCTGCGTCACCCCCTTGGGGCAGTAGGTCTGATAGGATTCAAAGGAGGTCAGAAGAGAGGACTGCCACTCACTTTGAGCTCTCTTTGAGCATAGGAGGAGCTGGATCTTACCAAGTCGATGTAGCATCAGAGTAAAAATACAGTTGTACGGTTACATAAGAGCAGTAATCAAAAGCAAAGCAAAAGTGAAGAGTGCATCTGAACTGATGCCAAGTGCTTTGCATTCACAAAAGTGTCACAGACAGGCTTTCAAATTAAAGAGAACAACATAACCTTTGAACATTTTCATTTTGAAAATCAAGTTCTGTTTAGGGCTTTCTTGTAATAAAAACCGAATTGGCAGAAATTGTTCAGCACAAAGGAAAGTGATATGAGTTGTGCAGTAAAATTAAAAGTGCAATGAAGTTCTGAAAATCAAACCCGACTGTAAGCACAAAAGCACACAGAACAGAAGGACTGGTTATGAAAGCAACAAGAGCGTACATCCAAAATGACATGCATGCTAGGTTTATACAATACATTAGACCAGTTAATATAGGATAAGGTTGTTTGTGATTCCATTTGCTGTAGGAATCCAGTGTTTACTACTGACCCAGGCTGTCATGGTAAACTATAGCATGATTTATTTGTCTGGGCACAGCAGGATATGTGAACACAGCAATGAACAGATTTACTTTGAGTGTGTTATGAGGATGCAGCCATAATGGAACAAGTTTACATTCCTCTTGGAATGCGTTCCTTGAATTCTGAATTACAAGATCCAATAATCCTAGACAACATCTTAAAGAAAAAATGAGGTCATGTCAGCAAATTTATAGCAAGGGCTATGAGAGCTTCTGGGATTAATAAGCGTTGGGGTATAGAGGAAGCCTCTGGACACCTTTCTTGAACAGAGCCTGAGACTATCACAGAGCTGAACTTTTAAACTTACCTCTATAATGTTATTCCTTTGGCAAACAATAACAGCTAAGGTTGTGCTGGGAAGAGCCTCTTTTTTCAATTTCTGCCCATTAACTCTCTCTTTTCAAGGCCCTAAAGCCAGGCAAACCAGAGGGCATTTTCTTTCCTGAACAACTAGTATAATGCTAATCAGTGCTTTGGATAATGGGCTACCCACACAGAGAACGGAGGATCTAATTTAGTCAAGTGATGCCATTCTCCTTATGACTGGTAACTTCCAGAAGGAAGCTCTGCTTGTCTGCTGCAGGGGGAAAAATGCCTTTTGTGCTTCAGAAATAAACAGATTTATTATGACACAATCCAAGTGCCATGTTATTAGCTTCCTGATCTGTGGAAGTTATGTACATGCACCACCACACCCTACTAAGATTCTTCAAATCCATTGAAAGAAACTGCCCAGATACCCATAGTCAACTTCATTGTCTCTTTATTGTCCCACTTACTTCCCAGCAACAACAGGCTATCCAGAACCAGTTTTATGGCCAGTTTCTCTACAAAATTCTGGGATGGCAGGACTAGTACTCCTATTGGTTTATTTGGAATGGATTTCAGCGTACTTAGTTAATCCAACATTCCCTGCAGAAGGCAGGCCAACACTTCCTCCTGGAGGGTTGCTTTGCTCTGCAGATTCCTTCCCTTGACTTTCACCTTCCAAAATATCCCTCCCTCCTCTAGGTTCCCTCCCTGCAGGGCTTCCCACACAACTGCTTCATGATGTAATAACTGTTGCAGATCGTGTCTCTACTTTCCCGGCAAGAATGTTCTGTTCCTGTCAGATCTGGAGCTGAGCCACTACCCTTCAGCTGCCTCTTCCCCGTTGCTTTCCACATCGACTCATCTACTTTCCACATAATCAGTTTATCATAATCCGTACTGCCATTTTTCAGGGGGAGGGGGGAGAGGAGCCTTCTGACTGGTAACTCAAGAAGTAAATGCAGATTCTAATGCTGTGAGGAGAGGGCAGC